ATAACAAGCTGTGAGAGAATGATTTCCGTGTTCACACCTTCTCCAAGCACGTAGTACTCCGCCACAGTTGTCACGATAGACCCAAGGTTACGTATAATGATAACCGTTGGCACGTTTGCGTACACAAAGCTTTTCATACTGGTGTACAGCATCACCGCGAAGAGTCCTGCAACGGGAATCCACTTACGCGTGTTGCTAAACGTCATGCGTTCCAGCTCGGTTCTGAATGGAATGAGCAGAGCGAGTGTAGCAGCCATTTGTATTAGTACAAGCGTACATGGCAACGGGAGTGCCATCACGGCAAGCTTATTGCTCAGCATCATCCCAACGGATGACACACAGAATACTGAAATCGCATGGACATAGACCCTGATGCTATACATTTCTCGCCACCTAATGATAATAATAGCAATAGCAGTTGTACGCCAAGCAGAGGGAATTAGAGAAAAAAGATGATGTAAATGGCTGCGGTGAATAGAATGTAGGAATATAGATACATTGTGGGTTGAAAAATGCTCATCACTCTAGTCTAAGAAACACGATTAGGGAAGGGCAGGGGGGGGGGGNGGGGGGGGGGGGAGACGTTACTCTGCCGGCTTGATGTTTTTACACCGCAGTTGATCGAATCGCCTTGAAGCGATACCTGGCCGATGCATACCATGCCCCGGCCCCAAGGGCGATAACACAACCTAAGCCGTCTACAAGGCCCAAGGGATCATGGAGAAAAACAACACCGACGAGAATATTGAGGAACTTTGTCAGGTTATTGACTTCGATAAATGTAGCTGCAGAAACAAGTTTCTGAAGTCCGAAACCCGATGTTGAGATCATGAAGCCACAAAAGCATGTGACTCCTATCCAAAACCAACCAAAAGCGGTTACAATTGGTATTGTTGCGACAAATCGCCCTACTTCGTCGTGTTGCAGGAAGAGAGCAAACACCATTGGTAGTGCAATGGCATTGTTATACAACGCCAATGTGTATTTAGTCGATGACGAAAAATCTGCCACATTGCT